TTTAATTGGAAAGTCAGATATACAGAGAGGAGGAGAGCCAAAATCTTCCATCCATTGATTCACTCCCCAAGCGGCCGCAATGGCTGGAACTGTGCTGATTTCAAGCCAGGGGCCTGAAAATTCTTCCCCATCTCTTACGTGTATGTAGGGTCCTAGGCCTTGGGCCATTCTCAACTGCTTTCCTGGGCCACAAGCAGCGAGCTGGATAACAAGCGGGGCCACTGGGATTAGAACCAGTGCCCATATGGGATTGTGGTGCACGTAAGGTGAGGAATGCAGCCGTTAGAATACCATGCCAGACAACATGATTCAGTTTTATATAACTTTTTTTTCAGTCATGCACACAATCGGCAGTTCAACAAACGTTTATCAAATACCTAGTGAATGTCAAGCTACTCATAAAAGGGGCAGAGATTCTTGCATTCTTCTTGGGGCAACAGCTAAAACAACAGTGAAAACAGTGGGAAGTGGATAGATTATGAATATACAAGTGATCCTCGCCACTCACAGATGCCATATTTGCAAAATTATCTATTTGCTAATTTGTGTTTGTAACCTTGCAAACGACCCTCATGGTGCTTTCCCAGAATTTTCAGACTTGCTCAGAATGGTGCAAAGTCAGTTGCCTGAAGCACCTGTTCCCATCTCTTGATTCAGCCCTCATGTCGTGAACAGGTGCTGTTTTCACAGTCTAGTTAGCGCCCTGCTTTTTGCATGTTTTTAGCTTTTTATTTGTGATTCTGTTGCTTAAAATTTGTCCTGTGCATTGTGTAAAGTGCTTTCAGAGGTTTGTGAGCACAGGAATGCTGGGATGAGCCTCCCTGGGTGTGTTAAGTTTCTTTTCGGTTTCAGTTATAGTGCTGTTGGCCATGAACTCAATGTTAATGAATCAATAACAGATTTAAAATAAGGTGACTATCAATAGAAACACATATGCAACATGCTCGTGCCCTAACCAGGTGACAAAATGTAGGAATCATAGGTTTATAGGAATGCAAGCTCAGATTTTCTTTAAGGGCATTGAGTCAGTACTTGCTAATTCACTGTAGACAATCTGTAGGTTATAACTACTGATAAATAAATCCAAGTATACACTAAGTATTTTTCGAAGATGTGGTTAGAAAATGAGAAGTTATGTTTAACTCCAAAGTTTTAGGTCTGATAGACTGGAAGTGTCATTTACTGGGACTGAAAAAACAATAGGGGAAATGGGGTGGTTCTTCATTTCATTGTGGGAAAGAGCAGTGGATAAGGACACTCTATCTTCTAAATACAAGCCTGAGATTAAGTTGGGCTATTTGTACAGCAAACATGTTTCATGGAAACATGTTTTGCATGAAAGCACTGAAAGCACAATTGAAAGCGCAACTATTACTTCCAAGGGAGTAAGAAGAGCCAAGCAGGAGGTTATGATGACAATATGGGACCAGATTCCTGTGCTCTAAGCCTACCATTGCCTCCTCTAAACCCTGACAGCCCTCACTCACAGTGAGAGAAGCCTTGGTGAGATCAGGAAGCTCTGAAAAAAAATTTACCAACTGCTCATCATATCTTAGTTATTCTTCTTGTGTTAAAATGACTTCATGTTTACCACGAGGTCACCTTCAGTCAAGATTATCAGTCTTATTCAGGAGAGAGGAAAAGAGCAAATTACAGAGAAAGAGAATATTGGGAGGTGAAATTCCACTTTAATTGCAGTACATGTGCAATGGTATTCTGAACAGCACAGAAATGAATTATTTAAAATTGGTGAGAAGATGGTGTTAGACGTTTATCCTCAGTCTGGTGGCTTTTTAGAAATATCAATCTGCTCACCAGATTTGCTGTTTTTAAAATACACTGTAGTTACAGTTACTTGTTGTGTCAGAATGTAAACAAACAGGATAGAAGGAGATTACCTGCTAACATTCTCCCACAGGGAATACAGCAGCCCATGGACACATCACACTTAGAACAGAAAGACATCAGAGTATTTGCGTGTGGTGGTGCTTGTGAGGGATGTTAAGGCACATGAAGATGCACTGCAGGGTGCAGATGTTTTCAGCCCCAGTGCAATGTGTGTAGAGATGTGAAGCAACTGGTTTGAATTCTTAAAATTTTGTGCCGTTGTGACCCAGTACATTCTCTACTTAGTCATTTGGAATACACTTCAGAAAGAGTGAAGTTTTTGTGGTAATTTTATTTCTATCACTATCTGGTTGGTGCCTGTTCAATAACTGATGATTCATTCAAAGATTAAATCTGATGCTACTGGAAGTGTCAAAGCATACAATACCATGCTTTCTATCTCAGCAATAGGTAGCAATCTCTGGCATCTACAACTCTGTGCAGTTTCCTTCTTAACAAACTGCAGGTTTAAACTAATGTGAACCTGGTAAGTCAGTCTAATTAACTGCCTGTAATTGCACCAGTTTGCACTGCAGGGCTGTCTCTGAAGGTCACTGTAAGCTTTGAGGTAGCATCCAGTAAGACAGCCATCTTTTGGTACCCTGCCACTGGACTTCAAAATTAGACAACAGTCTCTTTCTCCCTGTTATAGTGCAGTGCCACTGAAGCAGAGTCATTGTGTATTCCTATTTAATTAACCATATTGCATGCATCTTTTGTATTTAGTTCCCACATTCCTTTTGAAGATTTGTAGATGCTTAAAAATGTATACATAAGCTCACAGTGAGAATAATTTTGTATTTATTATGGGAGAACTAGAGGTTGGGTACTGTGATACATCAAGCTAAGCTGTCTCCTGGGAGGCCCACATTCCAGAGCGGAGCACCTGCTTGCAGTCGTGGTTACCCCATGCTTCACATCCAGCTTCTTGCTGTTGTGCCTTGGAGGCAGCAGATGATTATTCAAGTACTTGGGTTCCTACCACCAACATGAGAGACTCAGCTGGAGATCCTGCCTCCTGGCTTTCACCTGGCCAAGCCTTGGTTGGTGCAGACATTTTGGGAGTGAACCAACAGCTGGAAAATTTCTCTCTTTTCCACTATATCTGTCTGTCTTTCAAATAAATCTAAAAAAAAAAAAAAAAAAAAAACAACCAACCAAACAAACAAAAAACCCCTGGGAATTTGGACCAAAGTGGTGAACTATTTAAACTCCCCAAGCACAGTGCATTCAAAAGAGGAAGGGTCTCCCTGATTGCAAAAGGATCTGCTGGCTTCTTCCTGATGCTGCCGGTCTGCATCTCTATGCTTGCCTTCTCCCTCACAGGTGAGAACTTGCATGAAATGAAAGTTCAAGATGTTTAATACGTAATCTAGTTTTTCCAATAGCTAGATAACTTAATATTTTTTCTAAAAATCACAGTCAACAGTCTTTTTCTTTCTTGATAATCAAAATATATTTTGTGAGGGAAAGTAAGTGGCAAATCAGCTTGAATTTTTTTTGTTATATTTTTCTCTTGTTTTTCTCTGTCCTAAAGATAAAACTCCAGAGCTCAATAATCTAAAGAACGTGCCTATTTGTGCTCATTTCTCCAAGAATCCCTTCCTTCCTGCTGTAGGAAGACAACAGAAGGAAGAGCAGCAAAATCTCTCACCCACCACCCTACGCTGTAACCCTACACATGGGAAGCAAATCTGAGCTGTTGTGCTGAAATTTTTTCTCTTACAAGCCTTTCCCTTGTCTTGTTCTTAACCATAGTACAATTCCGTTATTATTCCTTTGAACATTTCCCATGACCTGAAGCGAAAAGAAGGAGCTATAACAGAAGGTTGCCAAAGGACTCTAGTGAAACAATGGTAGCAAGGAAGCAGAGGAATAACTTGGGGAGAAATTCAGAAACTCAAAATGATCAAATGTGTTGGTCAATGAAATGTGATAGGAAAGGGCAAAACTGAAGAGTGTTCAGATTTCTACATAAGGCAACTGGATGATGGTGGATCTATTAACTGACATAGTAGATACTAGCATTATCATTAAACACAATGCTTAATAGATTGTCACAGAGCAGGGTTTGGAACATATTGGATGGTTTTTTTTCAAAGACAACGAGGTAACAATTATGCAATTGTGACTGAAAAAAAGAAAATAGGTAAAATGTTGGTTTTGTCTGTGTATTGCCAGTCTATCCTCACGTACCAAGACTGTATGTGATATCTGTTCAGTCACCATTGGGAGTGCTACTTCTTTCCCCATATCACACAGAGCTTTGGCTAGCTTCTGGCTCTTTGCATAGAACCCCGGCTGTTCTGGCAGCTCTGCTGGTGGTATTCATGAGCACTCTTATTTCTTCTAGTTTCTCAGCAAGAGGCTGGTGCAAGGGGATAAAGGGAGCTGTGGTCATAGAGTAAGCCCCTATTGAAATCACACTCATCAGAATCACAGCTATCTTCAGATGATGTGATGCAACTATGAGTCAGAAAGGGCATACCTTTTATCTTTTGCTTCACCCTAGTCCTTTGAAAGTTTTCTATTTGAATAACTTATTTAAAAAATCTCTTGGACAAAGCATGAGCATGTTTTTTCTTCTGAAAATGGTAGGATGGAAAAAAAATTTAGGCTTTACCAGCCATAGATGGCCTTTGTTGCAACTCCTTAACTCTGCTGTTGTAATTATGAAAATAGCCATATACAATGAACAAGTACATTGGGTTGTATTCCATAAAACTGAATTTATAAAACAATTTTATCTGTGGGCTACATCTGACATGTGGGTCATAGTCTTTAAATTCCTATTTTAGACCACTAAGCTTTCAGCCTATGCATCATTGATATTTCAAAAAAAATCAAAAACATTGCATTGGTTTCCACAGAAGTCAAGAGAACAGGATGCTGAGCACTGGAATGAGTACAGTGGAGCAAAATCATGAAAATGACTTCTCACCCATCCCTAAAAAAGAGTTCTGCACATGACCAGTTTTTCATTGTTTTATGAAGCATGGGTGGGATTGCATTTTACACAAGGCAAACATATCAGAAGACAGCATGATCACTGCTTTGGAAAACAATAAAAAGGTGAACAGAAAACCATCATGGCTAGTATTGATGTAACTTACCAATCTTGGACCGCATTGAAGGATTCTTCATTTGTGATGTCGTACATTAAAATAAAGCCCATGGCCCCACGATAATAGGCTGTGGTGATAGTCCTGTATCTTTCTTGGCCTGCTGTATCCTAAAAAATAATAATAACAATAATAATAATCTCAGGAACAAAGCAATTCATTTTGCGGAAAATGATTTAAAAAAAATTCTGGAAAGAGTTTCAACACAGTCAAGAATTTGCAACATACAGCTATCTTTTTTTGTCTTGTTTTTCCTGAAGATTTTCATATGGCAGCACCAGAAGTTTCTCAAAATTCATCTTTGGTGAAGATCTAGCTCAAAGTATTTTCTACATATGTTCATTTCCTTTCAGCCTGAGTGTAGAAAATAAAACAAGAGGAAAGATTGTATCTATCTGAAATCTATACCCTTCTGTGTAACAAAACCAGAGGCTATATGGCAGCCTCTGTTTATATCTATTGTTTGTTTATAAATACAAGCTGTTGGGCAGGCCCAGGGCAGGTTAGATTATGACAAGGTACCTTTCCCAAGGCTTACCGTTCAGTCTTAGTTTTTTCGAAAATGAAATGAGAATTAAACCATGTATTTGGCGTATATGACTGAGTCAGACAAATCTGGGTTTGAGTTTCTGTTCTGCCACTGGATAAGCTTTCAAACTGTTCTAAAACAAACATCCTCACTATTGTTGATTATTCTGCCATAAATACAGTATTACAGGTCACTTTCTCATATGCAGATTTTGTTTCCTTTAGATATATTCCCATAAGTGGGTAGACGGGTCATATGTCAAATCAATTTTCAGTTGTTTGAGCATTCTCCATACTGAATTCCATATTGGCTATACTAGCCTACTTGCCCACCATCACTGAAGAAGGGTACATTTCTTCCCACATCCATGCCAGCAGCACAATCTACAATAGCAAAGACATGGAAACAACCAAGATGCTTGTTGAAAGAGAAATGGATAAAGAAACGTCATTGCCTTTATTCTACGGAATACTACTCAGCCATGAAAAATGAGTGAAATTCTACCATTCTACCATGGTCCCAACTAGAGAACATTACACTCAGTGAAATAACCCCATCCCAAGTGAAAAAAGAGCATATGTTCTCTCGAATATAAGATAACTTTCATGCAAAAAAAAGAAAAATAGGAAAAGGAAGAAAGTATAGATTTTAACAAATGGAAACCTAACAAGTCCTTGAATAAAGAAAACTATGATAAAGTTAAAATGTTAGAAAATAAGACAAAATATCAGAAAGTAAGATACTAAGATTCAGAATCATTAAAATGTAAAATGATGCTCAAAATCATGAGAAAAGTATTAAATATTCCAATTATAAATGCTATTTGTCACATAATTAGCTACTAAATTTGCAAAACTCTAATAATGTAAATGCAATGCTGCCAAAATGCATTCATATATGAGTATTACTGAAGTGCTTTACTATAATCTATAAATATTAAAATGCAAGCACATATAAGTATGCTAAGAGAATAAGCTGAATGTCATCAAGACCATTGAAAAATTTATTAGCAGAATAAAGCCAATCTCAAGCTAATTTTGACATTCACAGGTAGTCACTGGATTTAATTCAGTTAATACGTATGTTCAATTGTGGGGAAAAAAAGAAAATTAGAGGACATAGATTAAAATATACCAATATATGTTAGTTCTCTAAATAACACAACTTCTTATAATTAGTTTTTTAAAAGTCCCATTTTAGTTTGTGTTTTCCTAGAACATGCTACCAGTTATTGTGAGTCTCTCTCCCTCGTTCTTTCTCTTTCTGTCCTCCCCCCGACCCTTTGCCTATTTTAAGTGATTTTATATAGCTTGCTTTCTTGCACTGACTATTTTTTGTGGGTTGTGGGCTCCACACCCACTGCCTTTTCTCTACTGCAGGCAGCTTCAGCCTAATTTCTCAACAGGGAAGCAATGCACCACATACACTGTTGAGGGGTGACCTAGACCTTGCCTGTCAGGCATGTTTTCAACACAGACACTGAATAACAATGTTGGAAAACTGACTTTTATCTCTTCCTTCCTGACCTCTTCCAGTGATGGTGCCTCCTTTTCATAAGATGTTAATTTTATTTTGACAGTAAAGATACTAGTTCCACTGTAAAAAATGCTTCCATTTCACACTGTGTGTATATTTAATCTTTGAGAGGGCAGAAATGAAAGCGCCATTATATAATGATTGAAATGTTACAGGAAACTGCTAGAAACCATGGCTGTGCATAGCCATTATGTACCAATATTAAAAAAAACAAAACATAAAACACCAGGATAGAGTGGGAGGATGGCTTTCAAGATAAAAAAGAAAAATGAAAAAACAAATACTTTCAAATAATACTTAAGTGTAAGCAAGGAGCAGGATCTCTGACATGTTTCTGACTTGAATTAGAAACGTGACCTAAAACTGGAGGAATCTGTCACCCGAAAGCTCTTAAAGACAAAAAGAAATCTGTGCCGACTCTGGGAAAGTGTAATATAAATGCAAAGTGGAAATATCTTGTCCAAATGCAAAGAAAACAAAATGAGTAAAACTAAGCTTATACACAGATTCCAACATGACTCTATTGGTTTTGGATTGAAAGTGATTTCAGGATTCCAAATTCATTAGTGTTTTCTCAGGAAGAAAATAAGTCAGAAAAACACTTCATTACATTTGACATTTACTAATGATAGAAGGTTACATTTGAAAGAAAAGAACATTTTATAATGTCAAGTGCCACTAATGTGATTAAATGTGAGCAGTCTCAAAAGACAACTGACTAAAATGGAGCCTCTTCTAAATGTGCTCAGGAAACTGGCTCTGAATCTCGGGCTTTGCATGGCTCCTCTCCCTGGCTAACTCTAAGACCAGGGCACCCCTGCTGATGTTCTATAAATGTTTCTACTGACTGAAACTCTCAACTTGAGATCTCTTCAAGAGAAAATGAGGAAAGAAAATATTATTAAAATACGAAAACCCTCTTTTATAAGTGATAGCTTATTTTTTTTAAAGAAAAAGAATGGTTTAAATAACTTTTTATCTAACAGTATTCCCACTACAAACACTCCCATTCCCCAACACTGTTTTCCTCCATATTCTTACATATTATGTTACCTATGACATATATTATATATTACATATTATTACTGTTGTCTTCCAACAACAGTTATAAGTCCAACATTGTGCTATTTGGTCTATCATGACATGGTAGGTATAGACTATGCTAGATACTTAACATTTTAATTGGGAGTCCATCTTTTATTCAAGATTAGAGATACATACTACACGGTATCTCCTGATAGTTTTCTAGATACATTCCCTCTAGATGAATATATGTATATACATGCTTACCTGTGTATCTGTTAATCTTGTATTTTGCATGAAGGTTATATTGTATCAGAGAGAACATATACTATTTGTCCTTTTAATATTGGGCTATTTCATTGAGTATAATGTTCTTGGGTTGGACCATTTTGTTGTAAATGTCAGAATTTCATTCATGTTTCATGGCTGAGTAGTATTCCACAGAATAGAGGGACCAGTTTCCATGTTTTTGCTATTGTGGATTACCATAAATATAGCAGGTCACTCTACCAGATGTAGTTTTGTGTCCTTCCGTTATGTTCTTTGGAGTGGGATAGCTGGATTGTATGGTAGATGGTAGATCAACTTTCAATTGCAAATAGTCATTTAGCACTCTGTACTGACTTTCAAAGTACCTGCACTAACCTACATTCCCACCAACAGTAGTGTAAGCTACCCTTTTCCCCACATCCATGCCAGTGGGTGTTGCTAGTAGATTTCTGAATACAGGCCAGTCTCATTGGTGTTAGGTGTAACCTCAATATAATTTTTCTTTGTTATTTCCCTGATAGTGAGTGAGCCTGAGTATTTTTTTATATGTATGTTGGCCATTTGATTTTTTTGTTTGTTTGGAAAAACGTTCATTTCCTTCACCTTTTACTTCACAGGGTTGTTTTGTTTTGCTATTGTTCAGTTTCTAAAGCTCTTTGTAAGTCCTGGTTGTTAGTCTCCTATCGGTTGTGTGGTGTACAAAGATTTTCTCCCATTCTGCTGGTTGCTTCTTCACTTTCTTGATCATTTCCTTTGCTGTAGAAAAACTTATTCATTTGATCTAGTCCAATTTATCTATTTTGGCTTTGACTGCCTGTGCTTTTGGTGACTTAGAAAAGTCACCAAAAAGGACTATTTTCCAATGCCTTTCTCTGTTTTCCTATGGTTTCTGAGTGCAGTCTCAGGGCCTTGATCCACTTAGAGCTGATTTTTGCATAAGGTGAGAGGTGGGAAGCCTTGCACTGTTATTCAATTGCTCAAACAGCATTTGTTGGATATCAAACATTTTCTCTCGCGTATTTTCAATTCTATTCTTAAAGATTAGTTAGGTACACATGCGTGGGCTTCCTTTGGAGTTTTCTATTCTTTTCCACTGATCTTCTTACCTGTTTCTATACCAGTACCAGACTATTTTTGGTAACTACCGTCCCATAGTGTATCTTGAGGTCTGGAATTGTGATTCCTCCAGCTTGATTTTTATATTTCAGAATAGGTGTGGTTATTTCTGGTCTCCTGTGTTTCCAGATGAATATCTGAATCATCTTTTCCACCTCTGAAAAGAATGTTGTTGGGATTTTGATTGCATCACATTGTATGTGAATATGACTTTAGGTAAGGACATTTTGGTGATGTTGATCCTGTTGATCCAAGAACATGGTATGTTTCCTCATCTTTAAATCATTGTATATGTCTATTTTTTTAATGTGCTGTAATTTTCATCATTGAAGTCTTCCACATTTTTGGCTAGCTTAATTTCAAGGCATTTAAGATTCTTCAGTCTTTGTTTTGGAAGTATTTTATTTCATTTTAAAATACAGAGGAAAGCTCTGCTGGATATGTGATTCTGGGCTGATTTTTTTCCCCCTCAGGATCTGGAATATGTCACTCCATTCTCTCCGGCCTGTATGGTTTCCTCTAAGAGGTCATCTGTGAGTCTGGCTTGAGGTTCCTCCATAATTAAAGAAATTCTTCTCCTGTGCATATTTACATTTTCTTTATGTTTAACTGAAGTGAGCTTGATTATGATGTGTC